TAAATTTTGTAATTTTAAAATGTTTGTTTCCTAGTGTTGCCAAGAGCAATTGTAACTGTGGAAACCTATCAATTGCACTGAAGAAAACAAGGAGGCAAATAGATTATCTACTGTCAAAACTAGTTTCTCATTTTTGACACCTATCATTTATCTTTTTAAGAAATTGACATTTCCACGAGGTGGAAAAAGAAAACTTCCCAGTAATAGGCCTATAGAAAAAAAAATATTTAAAACGCTTTTAAATCTTGAGCATTAGGCTCTAATTGTTAGAATCACAAGTGCTAATCCACACGCACGCTGACCCAGAACAGCGCAGCTGACACTCAGGATTCCGTCATCAACTGCATTTTCCTTTCGCAAGCTCAGTTGCTACTCAGCTTCAATTCGGTGCATAAATTTGTCTTAGTATAAATTCTGGAAATACAACTGGAACAATTTTTCATCATGGCTTTTTTTCATAAAATAATTAATCATCTAAGAATGGTTTTGATTGAAATGACAAAACCAGCCTGTGAGATACCATTGCAACATCTAATAAACTTTGATTAGGAACTAGCTTGAAATTCATGCTGTTTCAGATAGCAAGAAATAAACTGATTTTAGTAAAAATACATTTTCCACAAAGATGCTTACCCAAGATTGTTTCAGAACATGGAATACTTGAAGTTTTCATTTCTCAGTTTTGTAAAACCATAATGCAACTCCTGGGTGAAAAGTATGTATATATACTTTTCAAGGTTTTAATTCAACTGGATGATGACCTTATTTCTAAAAACACCTGATGAGGTATATTTCGCATGTAGACAAAGAAATAAATTTCACTTTATGTGATGGAAAACTTCCAGCATACACAAAACAAATGTATACAAACATAGTCAAAGTAAAAAGGATAGGGTAAAGGACTGCCGTTTATAGCTCCTATAATAATCATCTATAAAATTATTAATATAACATAATAATGATCAACTCATCGCCATCTTGTCTCATCTGTACCCCCACCCCTCCCCACTTACAGCCCGGACCTGGTTATTTTAAGCACAAGGCATGCATCACATTGTTTCATCTGTAAATACTTCAATATGTATGACTAACAGGTAATAACCTCTTTAAAAGAACCACAGTACTATTATCACACTTGAAAACTAAATGCTTCGTTAGCTTCCCCAAACACCCAGTTTGCCCTCTAACTTCCCTGAGCTGAACAGCAGCATTTGAAGACAGTCGACAGGGGAGCCCACGTGAAGCTGAAACCCCAGCAGGAGACGGCCGTGCAGCGTGAGGGCCCAGACGCTGGGCAGCCCCGCGCTGGGCGCCAGGTGGAGGGTGGAGGACAGCCACGGAAAGAGTCTGCACCTGCTGCTTAGGGCCCGCGGCGCATCAAGAAACATCCAGTCAAGAAAATCTACTAAAATGTGACACCAGCCTGTGGTGCTGGAGCCAAAGCGGCTCCCTCTCTCCCCGTTCCCAGCTCCGTGAGAAAAGTCTCTGCCGAGATCTGTGCGGCCACAGGCAGGCTTCCTTCCCGGTGCCTCTCCTCCCCCAGCGACCTGCTGCTGGGGCAAGTGCTGTGGGGCAAAGCCACACGGTGAGGACTCCTTTTTTCTGCTCAGCCCCCACTTGATGAATAGAGGCTCTGCCCTGGCACAATGTCACATTGGGCACTGGAACCTTGGCCATCCTGGCCCTGGCTTATACGGGGGGCGATTCCATGCCGGGAGAGGTACGCCAAGAAGACGTGAGGCTGCCGCCTCCGTCCACCATGTGCCGGCCTCCCAGCGGGGGTGTCACTCAGAGGGACACACACCATCGTCCCCACCCCAGCTCCAGAGCCCAGGCTCAGAGAATTGGCCTCGGGACCAAAGCAGGCTGTGACACAGACAGGTCCTAATCTCTCCACCAAGGAACACACTTTGTTTGCAGCAGAGGGTGGAGACATTCAAGCCTGGAAGTGTTCTCAAACACAGTGGCAGCCGTGGGGAAAGGCAACGGGGACAGGGGACAGCTTGGAGGCGCCCACTGAGGTCCTGCAACCCCCGGAGCTCCACCTGCAAAGGGGCCTGGGCCTGTAGAACCACTTGTGCCCCGGGGCACTTTGGTAAACATGGGGCAATCAGCTCGCACTGGCACTGCGTGGTGCTTACCAGTGGGGTGTGATCGGGGAACGAGGTAAAGAGGGCCCAGCCCAAATCACTGCCACCTCAGGTGACAATGGGCACACCTTAAAGGGCCTGTCCTTGCAGAGCCACATCCAAGTCTCACACTTCAAGGGACTGGAGGGTGGGCCCTTCACAAAAACAAGCCTGCCAGCCACTAGACAAACGCAAGTAGCAAGCCTGGGGCGGGGCCTTATGGGTACTCAGGGCTGCTACACTGTGCTATGTAAAATGTCCAGTTTCTAACAGAAATGCATGGCACAAGCCGGCGAGCAGGCAAGCATGACTTGTACACTGGGGGACGTCTCCTCCGTTGGGAGTGATGAAGGCCCCTGGTGGCCTCAGTGGGGATAGTTTGCGTGACGAGGTAGGTGAAGCAGCAGAGAGAGAACTGGAGACAGCAGGGCCCTCCCCTGCCAAGAACTCGGATGAAAAGAAAAGTGAGTAGCTAAGAGGAGGGCCAGCTCCACAGAGGTTGTTGCTGGACTTTGTTTTGCTGGTCAGGATGAGATATTGGGGGTGCATTCACAGGCTGGGGCTAGGATCTCGTGTGAGAGGACAGGGTGGCAGTCCAGGCGCGGCCGGAACAGGTAGGAGGACCGGCAGGCGGAGAGCCCAGCTCTCCGGGGAAGCGAGCCTGGAGGCAGGCGGGCGAGGGTGCGCGAACACGCCAGGCAGCCGCTCTTGGTGGGTCTGTCACATCTCTGCACGCCTCACGAGCAGAGGCCCTGACTGCCCTTTGGTTCCAGACTCCGCTTTTAAAATGTCGGTAGAGCGAACAACCTTGGAAAAGAGAGACAGTGTCCTCCTCAGGAGCAGAGGGCAGATTTTCCTACTGCCCAGGGCAACGGGGCAAGCGCTGGGCTCCCTTGGCTCAGGGCTCCTCGGCGGCACAGCACGCCCACCGTGCGGCCCTTCCTGGGCCCCGAGCCTCGCCTTCACGGGGGCTGAGGGGCCGGAGGAGTGATGCGGGGAGTGATGCGGAGGAGCGACACCATCACGAAGCCAGCGCTGCCTGCTGTGCCAATAAAATCCTTTGTCTCTGACCCAGGAATTTTGGGTCTTCTGTCGGTGTCCTGGAAACGGCCGGGCAGATGGCCCGGAGAAGGCCGGCGTGGGTTGCTGCCGAAGGAGTGGTACCTTCCTCTGCAATGGGGTCTTGGCAGCTGCACTGAGCCAGGCCACACAGGGGGGCGTACGCTGCACAGGCTGGTCCCAGCGGGAATCCCCGTGGGCAGAAAGCCAGGGACACAAGAGAACCTGGGTAACCTCGAGACAGAAGCTCAGATCATGACCCGCGGGGTCCTGCCTGGGTAGGAAGAAAGCTTCAGGCACAGGTCTGACTGCTATGCTGGGAGGCAGCGGCAGGCCGGAGAGGCTGGGGGGCCCGTGAGGCTGCAGAGTAGGGATGGGAACTGCAGGTGGGTGGACGGGAGGCTTTGGTCTGCATGGAATATGGCCGTTGAAGCACTCGCGGTGGCCTGGAGCGCACTGGAGGCTGGAGTCCAGCCAGGCAGGCGGACGCTGGGCTGTGGCGGGGACCCAGTGCCGAGGTGGGGCATTTGCTCAGAGTGAGGGGTGGGCATGGGATTTAGGGGTTTGAAGAGAGGGTCTGCTATTTTATTAACCACTGAGGAAGTGGGAGGAAGCACTGATTAGGAATAAGTAACACGTGCAGCGATTTTGAAGCCTGACAACCATGAGGATTGAAATTTAAAAAAAACAACAAACAAACTTGAAACCACCAATTCTAAGTAGTGTTCACTCGCAAGGTGAGGTGTTTTTTTTTTATTACAAGAACTGAGACTGAGCAATGCGTTCATAACCATGCGCAGACTGCAGGAAGCCTTTGGGGAAGTCTGGCAATTGGACAGACAGCAGACTTCGTCCCACATGGGGCAGAGCAGAACTGGGGTCCTTCAGAGGCATTTGAGGTCTGAGTCCAGGAGCACTGCCCAGCAGAGAAGATACCACCATCTCACCTGCGCGTCACTACCTGGGGGGGCTCTGCTTGAAGGGCATTGGTGCCGCGGCTTCCTTGCCCTTCCCAGAGACACCAGAGCCCCTGCTAGGCCTCTCCGTGGTCTCTCTGCTGCGGAGATCTGCAGGCTGGCCTTGTTTCACAAAGGAACGCAATGCGTTGCGGGCCTTGGCCTCCCTGGACCGTGGGCAGCAGTTTCTGCTCCCCCACCCACCCCACCCCATCCCATCCCATCCCGCAGGCGCCCTGCCACAGCCCCCGTCTGCCCAACCGGGCCTCGGGGCTCCTCGGTCCTCCCGCCTGCCCCGCTGTCCTGGTGAGCCAGCCTCTCATTACACCCGAATTCTGGAAGGGCCCGAGCTGCCACACCGACAAGTCTTGAGCCGCCCCACCGGCGTCTGGGAGCCTTGGGTGGGACCTCGGACGACACATGCTCAGCGTTCAAGGCAGGTGGCGGCGGCGCCCCGGATCCCCCAGGGTTCCCGGGACGGTCGGCAGGCGCCGTTCCTGGACCACAGAGGGGAAGAGCCCAGCCCAGCCCCAGGCTCACGGCGTCCCGGGACCGCGCGCCGGCAGGAGCTCTGCGGACGGTGCCAGCCGTGCAAGTGCCCCCGGACAGATGGCAGCGCCCGAGGGGCGCAGGCGGCTCGGGGGCTGCGGGAGACACTCCCGCGCCCGGCGCACCCGATGGCGCGGCGGCTTCCGCTGCCCGGCTGCAGCCAGGAGGGGAAGCGCCAGCGGAGCGGGGGAGGTGGGGGGGCGGGGGGTAGGGGAGGGCAGGGCTGGGCTGGGCAGGGCCGGGCTGGCCGGACTGGGCAGAGCAGCCGCTTCCAGGAGGCCGTCCAGTTCCCCAGGGCCGGCCCCCTCCGCACCGGGACCGCGGGAGACGGAGCGCCCGCCGGCGGGGCTGCATGGGGCTCCCGCGCGACCCGCTCTTCTGGCTGCTGCTCCTGCTCGTGGCCTCCTGCTCGGGGATCCTCCTCGCCCTGTTCTCCTCGGTGGGGAAGCCGCACCCGGGGCCCCGGTCCGGAGCCAGGTAGGGGCTGCCTCGCGGGACCTAATGGGGAGGGCCCAGGGACCGGGCAGAGCGCCCAGCCCAGGGTACGGACCGCCTTCCGTGCCAGCCTCTAAAGGGGGACCCCCGGCGGCGACGCCGGGTGCGGCCCTCCGCCCTGAGAACCGCCGCTCGGGCGCTCCACTCGCGCTGCCCCGGACGCTGCTGCAGCCTCGTCCGGCCAGAGCGGAGCCTCGCCCCTGACGCACGGGCCAGCCGCCCGGCACAGCCTTCTGGGTGCATTCCCTCCGGCCCTGATTAGAAGCGCTCTCTCTAGTCCAGGCTTGGCTGGCTCCTGTGAGTCCGCTGAAAGCGGGCGTGTTTTTGTCGGGAACTCGCTCTCGGAACGTCACCTTTTTCAGACTCTACTGTCGGGGCAGGGAGCCAATCTCTCAGTTCCAACTTTGCGGGGATCCCCAGCTGGGCTGTGACAGGTGGCCGTTCCCATGGGCCCCTGTCCCTCTCCCCCGGAGCTCTGTGCTCTGTGTATTTGATAAGCACCGTCTGGGCGCGATCTGACAGAGAGGCAGCCTCCCGGGGAACAGGGCCGATTCTGGGCTCCAAACAAGTTTTCCTCGCCCAGCCTGCCCTGCTGCTCCGCTCCCTCGTGCTGGCTCTGGGACCTTCCTCCTCTCCCGCGTGCCCCAGGAGGAGACGCCTGAGAGCCTGCCTTTGGTGGCTGGCGGCTCCCGTTCCTGAAGAAGCCGCCCAGGATTTAGCTTCGCTTTGGGAAGGCGGTCGGAGCTGGGCCCACTGTCTGCATGTGGGAGGCTGCAAGGGCACCCAGGGCCTGCGGAGAGGCCTCTGGGCCCAGGCTCCCTCAGCGGTTCCCTTCCTCGTTGAGCCTCGCTCTAGGTACCAGGAAACAGAAAGCAAAATGAGTGTCTGCTCTCAGGGAATGAGGTGAGAGGGCACCCCAAACTGCAAAACAGTATCAGCTTGCAACCCATCAAGTCCCATCCCTTTAGAACGAAGCGTCCTCTATCTAGCGGGTGACGGGTGAGCTGATGTTATGGCGGAGCCTCCGCGTGCTCAGGAATTGCACAGGGAGAAGGGCGGGGAAGGGAGGAGGGTATAAGAAAGGGGATCCCTGTCAATTTTATGTAAAGATGTTTTAAAATACAGTTACGTGTCCTTCGAAAGTATCGAATGCAACTTTAAATATGAGGTTTGTTGGACATCCATGATACCTCAACAAAGCTTTTTTAGGTCTTTTATTTTTTTAAAAAATCTAGTACAGCCCAAGAACCTGTCTGTTTCCCTGACGTCTGCGCTGTAGCCAAATCCCAGGAAGCAGGTCAGGACTTGGCCTGTTGGAGGTAGGGAGCAAGGGGGAGGTGGCGCTTTGGGAAGGGAGAGCAGGTTGTGGGAACTTCCCAGCCGGGGACAGGAAGTGGGCCTGCCTGGCTGCCTGGAGAGGCCAGGGGACACGGGCCAGGTCTCCGGCAGAGACATGGGGTCTCTAACTGCAGGTTCTTATTCACAGAAGAATCCGGGTCAGCAGTTCCCAGGCATGGGGATTTCTAAACTTGTAAAAAAAAGAAGTGCTGTATTTTGCTGTTGTTTTTTTTAATAGAGGAAGGGTGAAAATAGATACAGGGTGCCAGTTACTATCTACTGTCAACATTATTTTGTAAAAGAAAGGACATTTTAGAGCCAAGAATTCCTAAGAATTTGATCTAAGTGGAGTAAATTTCATTTTATGAAAACTGCACTGCATCGTCCTTCCTTATTTCCCCTGGATGGGGGGACTTCCCCGAGGGGCTGGGGCAGACTGGCTCTCCCTCACTCCGTCTGCCTCTGCGGACAGGTGTCTGGAAGCCCTGGGAGGTGTCCCTGAGGACTGAGGGTACCTTGGAGGTGAGCTGGCCTCCCGGAAACCGGGGGAGGTCAGGGCGGCAAAACTGAATGGAGCCGGGGGGTCCCTGCCACCTCCCCTGCAACACCCCCCCCCCCCCCCCCAACTCTGTCCCTCCTGTCTCTGCGGGGCCCTGCAGAGCGGTCCTTCCTCCGGCTCCTGTCTGGCCCCAGGTTGGAATCACCTGGGGAGAGGCCAAACCAATCAGATCTGAATCCCGGGGTGGAGCCTGGGCCAGGGTGTTCTTCAGAAGCCCTTGGGCGTTTCTAGGCTGAGTGATTTGTCCAGGTTGCTCCTCAAAGGGGGCTTTGTGTGCTCAAGGGCAGGATCTACAGGATTCGGTGGGTGGACATGTGGCTAGAGGGGAAGGGATCATTGCCCCTCTCCCCGCCCCGCTCCTCCAGGGCCTCACAGAAACCTGAAGGGACTCGTGACTCAGCGCAGGGAAGCAGCTAACAAGAGGCCTTTGTTTCCATTGCAAACTGCTCTTCCCTAACCTCCCCACCTTCTCCCCATGGCTGCTGGGGAGGGCGCAGGAGTCTGCCAGAAACCTGACACCCCTCCGCCTTCCTGCCTTTCAGGTTGCCCTGCACCGGAAGCAGGGGCCACCTGGGAGGTAGGGGTGGCGCAGCAACCTTAGCCCCTTACCTCCCAGCAGAAGGGACACTGTCCTAGAGACTGTCACCAAGAAGTCCTTTCCCTTCTTTAGGTAGCCAGAGCTCACAGTCAGTCAGAGGACACGTTTTATAGGAGATACCATAGGTCCTCCGAATCTCGCAACAACTCGATGACATGTAACGTGATTGTCCCTGCTCCCCGGATGCAGGGACTCCGCTGGGTTCTGAGAAGTTTAGTAACTTTCCACGATCATGGGATCCAAACCCAGGGAGCCAGGCGTCAGGCCCAGGCCCTTCCCCAGGCCCCTCGGGGCAGGAGCCAGCCCGGCTGACCCCAGGGGGAAGGGGCCCGCGTCACCAGGGCGGGCCACAATGCCTGCCCTGCGGCGTCGGCCGGGAAACCCCTATATGGCCACGAGGAGCTGGCAAGCTCTCATATTTCATATTTTGACCTTTTAACCACTGTTCCTCCACATTTTTGTCGCTGGCCCCGGGGTCTCTTGATTTCTAGGTTTATACAGCTTGTTAGAACATAATTACGTGGCAGTACTTTGTGCGCCTGGGAGAGACACGGGCAAGAATCAGAGCCTAGAAACTGGGAGGGATCAAAGGAGCGGGCACTCTGTCGGCCCGGGAGCGGACGGGGCCAGGCGGAAGGCTGCGCAGACGGCCCGAGCCCTGCTTGACCTGCGCCTTCTCCCCCAGGAGCACCACGGCACCCCAGGCGTTCTCTGGACCCAAGGCCACGAATGCGAGGACAAGCAAGGTACAGTGGTCAGCTACTCGGTATTTTGGAGCATCCTCGAGTTAGCAGGGAGCGGGAAAGAGAAGAGCAAACACAGGAGAACACTCTCATGACACTGCTGGGCTCTTTGGAAGCCTCCCCCGGCCCCCAGCAGGAAGCAAACAGCGGAGCAGCCGCCAGGGCTCCTCAGCCCTGGCCTCTGGGGCCCGCTGCACCCCCATAAAGAAGGGTGAATCAGGAGGTACCCTGGGGTATAGCCGGCTGAACATTTCTTGGAAGTCCTGCAATTTATCTTTAAAAGGCCTGTGAATTTGACATTCTACTCCTCCAAATGTCTTTTTACTATGAAAGTCACATTTAAGCTGCTTGCCATAGGGGAAACGCTAAAGCCTGGGAAGACGACCCAGGTTTGCCCTGAGGGCTTAGGAACCTTCCGGGCCCTGCCCCGGACCGAGTAGTGGTGACGGTGGGCTGCCGTGCTAGCTGCACCCCTTCCCTGCGCCTGCCCCGCTGGGTGGCTTTCGTAGGCGAGCAAAACGAAGCGCAGAGGGGCCAGGTGCCTCGCTCAGGGCCCCTCAAGGAGCAGAGGTCGTCCTGATATTTGAGCCTCTGGCCTGCCCGCAGCGCGCGGCTCTGAACCACTGGGCAACCCAGGCGAGGAGGACACTGGGCGGCGGGTGGAAGAGAGCCCGCCGGCGTCTCACACATGTGCAGCCGGGTCATCTTCACACGCCTCGAGTCCTCCCCCCCCCCACCGGCGCCGCGTGGTGCTTGGTGACCCCACTGGCTTAAAAGAAGGATTCGCAGTAGCTTTTACATACATATCACAAGGCAAAAACATAAAATAGAAACAGGTGAAGAAAAATAAGATGACGTCAGACAAGCACGTGAAAAATGTGCCGCAAAGTGTCAGACAGGCCATAAATCTGTCTCCGAGCTTCCTGGTGGCCACGGTGGAGGAGGAACTGTGCCACCAGGTCCATGAGATAAAAGCATCGGCCCAAGGGAAGCACGGCCTTTCCTGATAGACAGACCTGGAGACTCTCCTCCCAGCACCTCAGAAAGAAGGCCCCGGGAAACACGATGCTGACAAACGGAGCAGTAGTGACACCACTACCTTCTGTCCTGCTCTAGCCCCTGCTTTGAAAGCACGCATTTTCCAAGTTCCAACGACTTTCAGAGTTGCAACATCAGTTCCAACAAGACTGGTATCTTAGGAAACAGTCTGAGCATCATACAAATTTTGTGTTTGCATCTGAGCGAGTTGTCAGCGAGAACACTGGGTTACATGCAGGGCACCACACCCAGCCAAAGGGAGCCGTTTAAGAAAACGCAACATGCGTGCGTGCGCATGCGCACACCCCACCTGCTTCGCGTCATCTGTCATAACCCCCTTTCCACCGCTTCCCCGTAACTCACAAGCTGCTGCCCACTTCCACAGTGCACGGCAAGTCTTTTCTACGGTCACCTGTCACACTCAGTAGCACTTGTGCATTGAACCACTGAATGTGTGACAACTGCGCTTCCGCCCTCCCTGGGTCCCCCTGTGTTTGCTGCGTCGCTGACCAAGTTTTTGGGTGTCGTGTCCTGTGGCTTTGATTGCAGTTTTGCTTCTGTGTCACATGATAGCAGAAAAGGCTACCCACAGCTCCTTCTCGCATTTCCTTTGATCACACCAGCCCCTTAACAAAGAGCCCCTCCAGCGGTCAGCGTGGCCCTGCCCGGCCGTGGCTGTGTGGGTGTCTGCTGCGGGGGCTGCAGGCAGCGGGCCGGGGCCTGTGCAGCACACGCCCTCCTTCAAGGTCCCGGTGCGTGGAGGTGCCGTATCGTTTCCTAGGGCTGCTGGAACCAATCACCAAAAGCGGGGGGCTTAGAACAAAAGACATCTGTTCTCTCGCGGTTCCGGAGGCCAGAAGTCTGAGATCGAGGCGCTGGCAGGGCTGTCTGGGGACCCCTCGCAGCCTCCTCCGCCTTCTGGTGGCTGCAGGCTCTCCTTGGCCCATAGCTGCGCACTCAAGCTCTGCCTCCATCACCACGCGGCCTCCTCAGGACGCTGAAATTAGGGCCCGCCTGAACGCAGTCTGACCTCATCTTAACCACCTGCATCTGCAAAGACCCTGTTTCCAAATGAGGTCACCTTCCGAGGTGCTGGGAAGGCATGAATTTGGGGAAGATGCTATTGAATCCAGTCTAGGCACTGCCTGGAAGAAAGACGGTCACTCTCTCCTGGCAGCCCTGTCCCCACGGGCCCCACAGGGAGCACCTCGGGAGCAGGCCGTCAGAGGCAGGCCGACGGATTCCAGGGTCCGGGCTGGACCACCTCCACCAAAGGGCAGGCCGGTCTCACCCATTGGTGGGAAAATGCCCCCAAGTTTCCCCAAGAGTGAGATGCAGGAGGAGGGGGCCAGGGCCCTCCGGCTGCAGAGGCGTGGCATCCATGAGCAGGCCCGGGCAGCGTAAATCCAGAAAGCCCTCCCCAGTCCAGAGGGAGAAGGGCCGCTCTGCCTTCCCAGCCCTCCCGCGGGCGCCGGAGCTCACGGGGCCTCAGCCCCCTCCCCTCTCACCCACAGGGCCAGCCCTGCAGACGCCCTCTGGCTCTGGCCGCCCGGCGGCACCCGCACTTCCGGGACCTGTTTGACTTCTCCCAGCCAGTGCTGCTCTCCGGGGGCCTCTTCACCCAGGAGCTGTGGGACAGCCTGAGCCAGCGCAAAGCCCCCTACGGCTGGCAGGGTCTCTCCCGCCAAGGTAAGCCGCGGTCGCGGCTGCTTGGCCAGCCCTCTGGCTGCCGCCCGACCCGTCGTCCTGCTTCCGGCCCTCCCAGCGCCGCGATGCAGGACCCCGGCGTCCCATTCCTTCCTTCCAGGAAGACCCCCAAGCTGTGCGACTCCTGCCTTAGTTACTGTCCTGCCCCCACAGCGCCACGGCGTCAGCGAGAGGGGCTTGGCTGCCCCCCGCCTCCAGAGCTCTCACCCTCCTGGGGCTTCCCTGGCATCGAAGACTAAGATGCTGGTGTCCAAAGGTGGCCGCAGACAGGGGCTGCAGCTCCCCAAGCCGCCCACTGACTTTTGCTGCTATGGGAACCACACTGACCCCCCCCCATTAATTCTGCCCCTCCCTCCATGGCTCTGGTTGGTTCCTTCTGGAACAACCTCCAGAGGGCCAGCTTTTGAGTTCTTGAGGCCCTGCTGGCACAGCAAAGCCCTGTCCCCTTTTCTGTTCTCATGGCCCCATGGACATTTCATTTCCCTCCCTGCCTCTGTGCCTCTTGGGAGGGGCTGGGGTCAAGCCTCAGGCGAGGTGGGCACCGGCACGTCTTGGGAAGGTCCCTGGTGAGCCCAGGCGGCCTCTGCATAACGCTCCACCCGCCCCGCACCCACAGACATCGCCTCCACCCTGAGCCTCCTGAATGGCTCCGAGAGCACCCAGCTGTTCGGCCCCGCGAGGCCGCGCCAGGGCTGCGTCCGGTGTGCCGTGGTGGGCAACGGGGGCATTTTGAACGGCTCCCGCCAGGGTCTGAACATCGATGCCCACGACTACGTGTTCAGGTACACGGGGCAGGGGCAGGGCGGAGTGGGCAGGGCGTGTTCACTGGCCCGGGCGGCAGCCCTGCCGTTGTAATGGGCTGACAGGCATGGGCGAAGGCACACGCAAACACGCGTGCCACCGGGCCCGGGGAGGAAGGGACTGCAGGGCCAGATGTGCCCGTTTCACGGGGACCCCTTGAGGTCTGGAGGAGCGGGTGCTGTGCTGTGTGGGCAGAGGGGGTGTCCGTAGAGGCCTGGGGGCCGGCACCCCAGGGCTCAGGCGCACACACAGCACGGTATACCCGCCCGGAGGCTGATGGGCCTCTGCTCGGGCCAGACTCAATGGTGCTGTGATCAAAGGCTTCGAGGAGGATGTGGGCACCAAGACCTCCTTCTACGGTTTCACCGTGAACACAATGAAGAACTCGCTCATCTCCTACAAGAAGCTGGGCTTCACCTCCGTGCCACAAGGACAGGTGAGGCCTCTGGTGGGCGCCCGCTCCCCGGAGCACCTCCATCGGGGGAGCTGCAGGGTTCCTAAGCCGCGGTCCGGTGTGTGCGGAGCTGCACTGGGACCTTGGGTGTGGGGGTAAAGCCCTTGAGGAGGAGTGTCTGGGCAGGGGTGCCCCACTGTTTCAGGCAGCGCCACACCACACGGCACCAGAGTGTGAACGGCTCGTATTTACGAAGAGCTCATGGGGTGCCAGGCCACCTCCATGCACCTGTCAGCGCCACTGTACTGGCGAGGAGGCTGGGCTCAGTGCCTTGTGCCCAGCAAAGCGGCGGTGGGGCTGGCGTTCGCATTCACACTCCTGCGCCAGAGCTGCACACAAGGGAAGGGCACTCACCAAGTGCTCCCCGTCCCCGGCATTGCCCCAACGGCAGGGCTGCCTGTTTCCAGAGGGCAGCATGTCCCAGGCCACCACCCAGCTGGAATCAACGAAAGCTCGGCCACATCCACGTCGGGCGGCAGGTGTGGGGTTGTTTCCCGTGTCCCACACTGCCCACCAGAATAGTGGTGTGTGCGTCCTGAGCTCTCCCAGCAGCCTGTGCAGGGAGCCGAGGCTGGGAGGCCGAGGAACATGCCGGCGCCAGGGCTGCCTCCAGCTTCCTTCAGCCGCACCCAGTTGCTCTCACGAGCTTCCCCTTAAGGAGGTCTGGGTGCCACGTGCAGGGTCAGGGAAATACCAAGATAAGGGATTCCATGATGCTCAATAGGGTTGGGTTTCTAGAAGCTTCCTCCTCTGAAAAGGGAATTAAGGAGAGTCCTAGCCAGAGTGTCTGTGCACCCAGGCCTCAGAGCAGGGCCCCTCCTGGCTCAGGAGAGAACAAAGCAGGGCAGCTTTATTTCTGATGCGGCCACAGAACCTGAATAAGCTGTGTGGCAAAATGCCCCCAAACTTAGTCGCTTTATGATCTTACAGTTTCAATGCGCCAGGAATTTGGAAGCAGCTTAGCAGAGCGGTCCTGGCCCAGGGTGTCTCAGGGGGCTGCACTTAGAAGGCCCTGGTCACAGGGACCCCTCTAGGGGCTACTAGAGTGTCCACGGGACATGGCAGCTGACTTCAGCCAGAGCGAGTGATCCCAGAGAGCAAAGAGATGAAGTGCTGTTTATGACCCTGTCACTTCCATTGTTTTCTTGTTCCTTAGAAAAACTTTATTTTTTAAAAAGATTTTATTTATTTTTACAGAGGGGAAGGGAGGGAAAGAGAAACATCAACGTGGGGTTGCCTCTCAAGCGCCACGTACTGGGGACCTGGCCTGCAACCCAGGCCTGTGCCCTGCCTGGGAATCAAACCGATGACCCTTTGGTTCACAGGCCGGCGCTCCATCTGTTGAGCCACACCAGCCAGGGCAGAAAAACTCTTCTTAGTCGCCCACCCGGTCCGTACTCAAGGAGGGGGGGTGGGGTGGGTAAGCTTCACCTCTGGAAGGGGAGAGCACCACGGAACTCGTGAGCAGGTCCTGAAGCCACCGCAGTACCTGCGAACGGCAGTTACAGGCTTGGAAGGGAACTCCTCCTGTGGGGACAATGGCGGGACTGGGTGGAGGGCGGCCCCTTCGGAGCAGGAGCTAGACGCGGTCTTGTCCCTGCCGGGGCTCAGTGTTGCTCTTGCCCCGGGCAGGGCCTGCGCTATATCTTCATCCCCTCCGACCTCCGCGACTACGTGATGCTGAGGTCAGCCATTCTGGGGGAACCTGTTCGCAAGGGCCCTGACGAAGGGGACAGGTGAGCAGCCAAGCGGGGGCAGGGCACTCCCCCTTGACCCACTGTCTGGTAGGAAGGTGGGTGAGGGCAGCAAGAACCCACGGAGCACTCGGGAGCTTTGGGAGATGGTGCTCCCTTCTGCTGCCTCCGGGAACCCCAGGGAACCCTCCTGATCAGCTGGGCTGTAGGCCGTTCTGAATGGAGCGGGCAGGCCTGGCTCCTCAGCTTCAGGCTGCTGTCCCCAACACCAACCCAGCCTCCCGGCCGCAGCATTTCCACGGCCTGTCCCCAGCTGGGTCTGCTGTCCTGCTGGGCGTGCAGGGCCAGTGCCCATGCCCCGCCCCTGGCGGGCATCCTCCCAAGCCTGTGCCCATAAAAGGGGAGAGTGGGCCACGTGGGCCCGGTGCCCTGTGCCGTGGGAACAAAGGGCACTCTGTCTTGGCTGCCACCTTCCTGGGCAGCAGGCCTGTGCTCAGCCCTCTTGAACTGCGACCTGGCCCTCAGCCGACCCTTCTCCCGGTGGCACTGAGACAATTTCTCATCCCTGAGTCAGGTCCTTAGAAATCTCCACCACCCTTGGGCACACAATGACCAGTGCTCCCTGCCAGCCCCTGGAAAAGAGCTTCTAAGGGAGTCCTTAGGCGTTAACCCCTCCAAGGCCAGGCCAGCACCCGCAACCCAGCCTACGCCACGCCCCCGCGCCCGCCCCCACCCTGTAATTACCCAACAATTGCTTACACTGTTGCAGCTGGTTAGGAGGGTGGGCTTTGTGACATGGGCCAGGTCTGGGTTCTAGAGGGGGCTGGCTCAGAGTCATCCGGAGCCCATAAGCCTGCCAACACCAATGAGCTCCCCTTCCCAAACCCCTAATCCGTCCCCTACCCAGTCCCCCTCCCAGTCCCGAACCAACCATACCAGCAACCCTGCCAACCAGCAGCCCTACTCCAGCTCGGGTGGCCCCGCCCCTTCCCCACCCCCCATCCGGGGGTCTACCTCCCGCTCCCCCTCTCACCCTCCCACCCCGCCCACCTCCCAGCCCTCCTCCCGGGCTCCCTCCCTGACCCCCAGCCCTCACGCCCAGCACGTGCCTCGATCCTCTGTCCAAAACCCCACTCCACCGGCCTCCAAATCTCCTTCCCAGTCCGGCTTGAAATCCGTCTCTCGAAACCCCTCCCAGACGCCCACCTTGCCCCTCGCCCCGTCGCCCTCCCGGAGCCCCGTCACCTCGGCCTCCTACATCGGGTGCATCCCGAGCATCCCGGCCTACATCGCCCCCTACGTGTCCCGCTTCCTGAAGGAACCCCCCTTCTTCCAGCCCCCAACAGCTCCGCTGCCCCTGGGCTCCAGCGACCAGCGCCCCCGCTCGCGGGAGCGGGCGCTGCCCCCCGACTCCCTCTACTTCCCCCTCCTGCCGCCCCCGCCGGCCTACCCGCCTGCCGGCGTCTCCTACCGGACCCCGCCCGCCCTGCTCATGCCCCCCTGCTCGCTCACCTACACGCCGCCCCCCGAGGTGCTGGTGAGCGGGAAGCCGCCCGTGGTGCCCTCCGTGCTGCCGGCCACCTTCTACACGCCCTTCTCCCGCTACTACTCGCAGCCGCGCCCCCACCGCCCTGCGCCCCGCCGCCGGCCCAGCGGCTTCCCCTTCTCCTCGCCGCCCCACGGGCACTACGACAGCCTGGGCCGCTCTGTCCACTTCTTCTCCAAATAGGCCTCAGACCTACTTTGGACCGGAAGCCTCTGCCAGTAAATTCAAGCTCCTCCACCCAGGCTTCATCAGCTACCTGACAGAGAGGTAGGTGGTCGGCGTGGCAGGGTCCCGGGAAACACAGTGCTGCGTCCCGCGCACCGCAGGCCTTCCCTGTGCGCCCACCACGTCTGCACCCCAGAGCCAGAGCCACGCGCTGGGCAGGGCGCCTGACCTCGAGTATTGGCCCATTTACTACATGAGAATCTCCGTGGAGGTGGCGGTGTGTCAGTCACCAGCAACAGGAGTCAGGAACTCAGGAGAACTGGAGGTTTATTCACCAGGGACGTTTGCAAAGGCCCAGGCAGGACACGGGGGCAGCGCTTGGTGCAGGGAGGTCATGGGGCTGAAGCGGACTTGCCCTCATGTTTAGGCCCAAACCCAGCGGCCCAGGCAAGCGCCGGAGGGGCTCGGAGGACAAGGGCCCGATCTCACTTCCCGGTCCCTCCGGCCAATGGTTCTCCGTGGCAGGGAGGGGCGTCATGAGCGGCCTGGCCCTCTCGAATGTCCATAGCGTAGGGGTTGGTAGAGAAACCCTGTTGTAGCCCTGAGGCCAGCACCCCAAAAGCAGGTGAGAGGTGCAAGCGGACCGGGCAAAGGGGCGCCCAGCAGTCACCACCCCAGGCAACAGAACAAGAGGTGGGCTGAGGCCCGCGGTCACCCCGCCGTGGCCTCACTCCCGGACCCCGCGGCCGTGTGCACTCAGGCACCGCCTCAGCAGTGGCTCTAGTCCCCGGACCCGTGCACCTGGTCCCCCGTATGGGCTTCCTATTTGACCAAGTCTGCGGACAGAGAGAAACTTGGGTCTCAGTGCCCTTGGCATTGTGGTCACTCACTAGCTGAAGGCAGGTGGCTGCGGAAGAATCAGGCTGGACCCGGGCTTCTAGGAAGGGAGAGAACGCAGGCTGCTACCTGTGGATCTCCGGGACAGCCTCTTCCTCATCCGCGCTCCGTTATCCGAGGTGTTATTGCAACTGACGACTGTTGCGTGGAGGAGCTCATTTGGTTTTTTCCCCAACCAGAGATTTGAATTGCGGTAGAAAGGCCAGAAATTTTCAGGCCTTTTTGAACTGGTCACTGTAAAGCGCAGCGGCCCAACCATCAAATGAGTGGGCAAGCCCTGAATGTCTGGCTTCTGATGTCTTTTTGCTTCCAGGTTTTTGAAATCTAAGCTGATGAACACAAATTTTGGAGACCTATATATGCCTAGTACTGGGGCCCTCATGCTGTTGACAGCTTTACATACCTGTGACCAGGTAAGAGGCCGACAGCGGAGGACAGGCGGGAATGGGACCCGATTTGATTCACTAGATTCCTACAGACCTGTCACCCCTCCAGACCTGCCTGGGCCTCCGTCCTGTGGGGAGGGGACCCCTCAGCTGCAGGAAAGGCCACTTGCGCCAACAGTTCCTTCTTTTGCTCCCTTGTCCCCGAGGAGGCCTCTATATGATGTTTAAGGTTCACACTATCAAATGGCGCTTCCGAAAGCAAAGGACTTCTCAACAGACCTGGGCAGGGACACCCTTTTATGAGGACATTCCAGAAGCGGGGTGGGACAGCAGGGTTAGTCTCCCGCACACAATCTCCGGTCACTGCCAGAGACGTTCCTGGTGGGAAGTTGCCCGCATGTGCCACAGGGGAAGGCTGAGAAGCCTTTCAAAGAAAGGCGGTGGCCCACACGACCACCAGCCACTCCACCGCTTCCCTGTTTTAAAGCAGGAGGCTCCGTTTGAGCCACCAGTGGGATGGGGTACTGGTTATAAGGGGGTTCTGCCGCCCCCTTAAGCTTCATGATGATCATGTCTTTAGTCACAGATTTGGGTTCGAAACTCAGCCTGCCACTCACTAGCTTGTGACGAGGGACACATTTGGTGACCTGAGCCCATGCCTCTATCTATAAAATTGAGATTATAGTTGTAAAGCTGGGTGAGAAAGTATGTACAAAGAGTACATGGTGCTGGATGTTCATAAGCTACCACCGTTGTTCACCTGCACCTTCACACAGGTGGAAAGGTGGGGGTCGGGGGGAGTGCTTTCCTGGGTTCATGTCACTGTACGTAGACACATAGCACAGAGTGGCTCAGTAAATGCTGACTCAAGGTTGATCTCTGTCCAGGTTAGTGCCTATGGATTCATCACGAGTAACTACTGGAAATTCTCTGACCACTACTTCGAACGAATAAAGAAGCCACTGATCTTCTACGCAAACCACGACCTGTCCCTGGAAGCAGCCCTGTGGAGGGACCTGCATGCGGCCGGCATCCTTCGGCTGTACCAGCGCTGACCCTGGACCACTGAGCCCTCCGCTCTCGCAGAGCTGGGGGCAGAGTCCCCCCAATCCTAGATCCACTCCTTCCCCGCCGATGACAGGGGTGGCTTTGTGACTGTCACAAATGTTGTGGAATACCCCATCTTGTCCTTGGCTCATCCAAGAAAACTCCCCTGTGGCTCTGAGACAGACACTCCAACGTTGGTCAAGGGCAAATGGCCGCTCCACTGGATTTGTTTAAAACTGAAGACGTCACTCCTGAGATGTGAATGTCAGCGGGCGGGGCTGAGTGCCTCGAGGAAGCGGAGGACCCTGAAGTCAAATGTTACAGGCAAATGCACACTTCCCCGGCCCAGAGCCTCCATCACACCGGGCCCCACGCAAACACCAGGACACGCCTTCACCTTCCTGAGAACCTGGCCAACCTACACCTGCCCCACGATGAAGTGGGAGTTCCACAGGCAGGATATTAATTGGAAACTAGGCAATGGCATAAACGATGGACGACCATTCCGTTTTTCCGTGTGTTGGGGGAGGTGGTACGCCACGCAGGGGCACAGCAGGGAGAGCACTCAGAGAATTCGAGAACACGGGGATGTTCTGGAATCCGGGTGGGGCCAACCACACAGAAGGCTGCCTGCCTCTGAGGGAATTCCCCTCAGACGTGGTGCCACCTCGTTACCAGGTGAAGAACCATTATCAGGTACGAAGCATCGTGGCTTCGCTGATTTGAACTGGACAGGCAGTTTCGTGTCAGACACTACACAGGACTTTCCTGGAGGCCAGCCCTGGGGTTTACCGTCGTGATGCCTAGTAGCTTTTGCACAGGGCAGAGTGGGGGACGGGGTTGTCTCCACAGGGCCCGCCAGTGGGAGCCTCCCCCGGGGGCAGCCCCCGCCCTGCTCACTTCTCCGGGCCCAGCTCCTGGCCTCTGGGATGGGAGGCTGATCCCATCAGCCAGGGTAACAAGAGGGAGGGGCTCTGTCACTGGCATCAAAATGCTGCCACCTTAGAAACTCAGACACTACGAGAACGGGCACTTTGGGCTGGAAGGACCGCAGCAGCGTCCCGCTTCCCACGCCTCTTGTCCACGGTCCTTCACCCATCACGCCTGCAGGTGTCAGAATCTTTGTCACTCCAGCAGATTTGGGAAGTGCTAGTGATATTTGACGGTTTATAACCCTTTGAAGGGGTAGATAATCAATTTAGTGGGAAACTTAAAACCAAAACCCCCCAAACATCTGATTATGTCTTGTGTACATGTTAACCCCAGTTCTTATGGTGTGAAACTTTCATTTATCCAAAGCTGTTTACTGAGTCCCAGTATAAAATGGTGTGTTTATGTGGGCCTCAATCTGAAATCCACAACAGTCGTCATTTAAAAAATGGTTTATTTGTGCTCCAAGATTTTAGCCCAAGACACACTGACTTAAACAGGAACCCACGGAGAGGCGTCCCTAGGCCGCGCACCTGTTCCCCAGAGGGGCGCGTCCACACGAATCGTCTTCAATGTGCCGTGACTGCAGGCCCCCGGTGCCCCAGTGCGGCCCGGTCGCCCGGGCTGTGGTGTCCCGCTGGTTCTCGGTTAGGCCTCAACTTCAGTAGCTGCCCAAGATTTTCCAGGATAAACTCCCTGTCGCCCAAATTATTTGGCTACTTTCGAAGACGAGGTCCAGAGAACTCTGAAATGATTCTCCTTTGGGGGGGATCGCCGTCGAGGCACGAGCGCTTGGCCCGTGGGCTGTGCTGACCCTGTGCGGCGCCGCGGGACGCGCCTGTAAAACCAGAAGAGAAACCACCTGACGTAACAGCCAACGAAATGCTTCAACACCAAAGGCTAAACGTAGTGTCAGTTAATTTAGAGAAAAGGCAACCAGAGAGGTACTCGTGACACCCAGCACGCCTGTGCGTGCTGAGGGCCTAAAGGGTGCAACTTGGGGAGTTCCACGTGGGCTGGTGAGGCTCCCAGATGACCCGGAAGCTTGTTTTCAGGACGGTACTGAGGGGGGGGGGCGCAGTGCTTCATAAGTGGCCAGTAAAGACCAACCATGAAGCACTGGGGCCACCTGCACCCACCCGCCTCTGGTGGTAAACTTTGTAGATTTCCCTACCTGCTAACACGCCCTTCAGTCTGTCGGGCTGCAAGCTGCTGGGGCCGGTTTTCAGGCTCCTTAAATCCGGCCCCACATACAGCTGCCCCAGGTACGCAACACACCTGCGACCTTACACATACAGAGCACACACACCACCCAGTTTCACCTGGCAATCTGTGCCCACTTGAAGCCTGGCATTTAAACAGGAACAAAGCCAGGTGCCCTGAACCTTCCACCGTCCAGAGCCACTTCGCTGCTTTCTTGCCCACGTGGCCAGGCAACCCAGCCCTCTGCTGCCCAAGAAGCCCCACGCCGGCCACGCCGTTCAGACAAGCTCTCAGCCTTTGCCTCAGGGGAGCTCGCTGGTGGTAACAAAGCCCCTGGAAGCCAAAGAGCTCTGCTAGTGCCACAGGCCGCCCTTCTTCCTGAAGGTCAGCATATGGGCAAGAGCAATAACCCAGAAGCCCCGAGTGCCCTCACGCTGCCGTGGCTGGCGTCCAGCCTACATTCCCGTCTGTGTGAAAGAGCACATTCATCTTCTGAAATATGTGACAAACACGCTTTCATTCCACACTAAGAGCCTAAACCAAATCCAGGCCACTTGCCCATTTCTGCCACCTCGAGGCCTGGACCCTCAGAGATATCAATCACGGGGCTGAAGGTGCGACAGGGGCAGTCGCACCATTGGTTTTCAAGTTGCAGAGGGACGTGCTAGCCTGGGTCTCAGCGGGGTATCCACTTCCCTCTGAAGTCTGTCCAACTGGACCCCAAGGAAGCCCCAACTTTTAGGGGCACAGGGCCAAACCCCTAAGCCTCAGAAAAGATCATTCTCCCTCAGCCACGATTTTCAGACAGGGATAACTGACCATCACAGGCTTGTGGGGCTCCTCAGGGGCGTGCGAGGGGGAGACAGAAAACTTACAAACAACAGGAGAGGGGCTGCTTCCCTTGCTTCCGGCAAAGCAGCTCCGCTCTGGGTCTCCCACGGCAGACATCTAAAAGAGAAAATGAAAGTCTATTAAAGTCTCCTCGCCACTTAGCATAACCCTCAGTCCAGGGCAGGGAAGCAGAGCGCACACCCCGCCCAAGCCTGCTGGGAAGGTCGTCACGCACAGGAGAAAAGCCCCACTTCGGGGCCAGGGCAGCTGACACGGCACTACTTACTGCTGGTTCGTGTCTTCTTCTGGAGGGTCCGTTTCAGCCTCAGAAACCAAGGCTGTGACTGTCCCTGGCAAGGAGAAATTACAAAAGAAAAACCTGTTCAAGAAGATCCATGCAGGTATCTCTCAAGTTACTCACTTTCAAATCGAGTCTAACTTTTCTATGAGCAAACCTGGGAAACCGAGTCTCAGACATCCAAGTTCCACACCGAAAGGCCTTTCTCTGCCTTCAGACAGGGATAACTTTCCATCATCACGGACTCAGCTCCCGCCAGTCCCACAGTTCACGGAAATGACGGGATTTTTTTGTTTTTCCCAAATTCTGCTTTACTTCCCTGGCGAGAACGCTCATTCAATCTTGTCTACTTTATTACAATGTACTTTCCCTCAAGGGCAAAAACAGACCGTACCTAGGGCTCGATGTACACAGCGTCCCAGACCCGACACAGGCAACCCTACCCTTATTAAGGCAGGGCCTCCTCAGCACCACGTGTCTCACAGCAGACCGTGGGGTATATACTCTGGTGTCTTTCTAGTATCGGTCAAGTGTGGATTACCCCTTTCAGCAAGCCTACTGGGGGCCAACACACAAGATCGTTTCTCTTTCTCTTATCTCTGTGTGCAAAATGATCCTGCAGCGCAAGAGTGTGGCTTTCAGTTTTTTAAGATAGAGGATTATGGATCTGCCCTGAGAGCTACTTAAAATAGCCAGGACTATAATCTTGCTGCAATAAAAATCCTAGCTAAAAATAGATCCGATCACCCTGGCCTTCTGGCTCAGTGGGTTGGAATGTGGTCCCATAAACCGAAAAGTTGCAGGTTTTATTCTTGGTCAGGGTACATGCCTAGGTTGTGGGTTTGGTCCCTGCTCGGGGTGGGTACAATAAGCAACTAATCAATGTCTCTCTCCCTCTCTCTTTCCTTCCCTTCCTTTCTCTCTAAAGATTAATGAGCATGCCCTCAGGTGAGTATTAAATAAATAAATACGTAAAATGGCTTAAAAAAGAAATAAGGCTCTGTTGAGGGTCTCTGGAGGCAGACAGTCCAGATCACTCAAGTTAGTCTAACATGGGGTTTCAACCTCAGCTCTACTGGCATTTTGGATGTACAGTTCTTTTTGTCAGAGAAGCTGTCTTGTGCACGGCTGGACACTTAGCAGCCTCCACTAGATCCCAGTAACACCCTCTGCCCCCGCTGAGAACCGCTGGTCTAATCTAATCCAGCAATTGTTGTAAGAAACACTGTGAGACTGCTTGTCAAGGAGCCTAGTGAATGAGTTCCTTAAGCACCTCCCTTGCCTGCGCAGTAGTGATCCTGAAGGACCCGCACATCTCCCAAAGCTGGCAGACCAGTACTTAAAGAGGTCATGCCCAACGCAAGTGTGTGGAAGAGCCAAAATTCTTCTTACCGTTTACAGAAACCTCATCACGAAGACCTTTATACTCAACATCTTACATGAGGTTTTCATGTGACTTTTTTCAAAGTCCTCAGGTAGCATCTTTAACCTAAAAGAGGAATATGCATAACACACTTTTCATTCTTACAGAAACAACCTTAAGGTAGTTAGTCTCAAGACTGGTATTGAAAATGCTGAGCCTCAGCAAGTCAGGACTCTTCACAAAAGATGTCCTTTCAGACAGGGATAACTTTAAATCATCCTCAGCTCAGCCTGTAAACAAGCATTTCTAAATCCCAGCCAACCAAAGCTCACTTTCCAAGGCTCCCTTTCACCACCGCCCGCCCCGGCCAGGCAGGGGTGTCCATTTTGGTTTCAAACAGTGACACCTAGCGGCCCCCAAATGGCACTGGCACAAACCCTCTTTCACGGAGTCTCGATTTCTGCCAACATTTGTTCTCAGGATTGAACCTAACTTGAGAATGAAGTATCAGGCCGCTGCATGTGACAGGCCCTCACACCATGACGGCTTTCTCAGTTTTGGTGCCCACCCAGATCCTGCTTCCACCCACTCATTCTTACTCATTTCGTAGCCCCATTCATTGCTTTGAAGCTTCAACCTGCAGGTCTGCTCCCATCTCTGTACATGCCAAAGGCTGGCCTGTGGGGAAGGAAAAAATGAGCATGTAAGGTTCGTTGTAATACTGCGGCTTTCCGAAGTCTACAGTCCCACTGATTACTGTCTGTGGAATTAAATGAAATCTGATCGGGGCCGTTCTCAAGGTGCTCCAGGAGGAAGTCAAGTACCCAGACGCTAACACTCTCGAGATGTGAATTCAGAACTGCCACTATCTGCCCGCCTCGGGGGCGGCCCCAGGAGACCCTCAGGGCCGCTGGGCTGCAAGGTCAGCCCACACGTGGCTGTGCGGCGCACGGGGTTGTGTAGGTGGGGAGGATCTCTGTCAACAGGACTGGCCCTTTGAGGCCAAAGGTGGTCTTGAGCTCTCTCCCTTCAATCCTAAAAACTTGCGCCGTTTGGAAACGTTCACTCCTCCAGCATCTTAACTAATCCTCCCAACCACCCTATAAATCGGTTTACCGGTTCATCGTCACCATTTCGCCTCTGAAAAAGAAGAGGCCAAGTGTGCTAGCGCCGAAAGGAGACCCCATTTTCCCACCTGCTAAAGGCCTGAGGATGCTCGTGGCGCTGGACCGAGATAGAAAACCCCATGGCCCTCAGCCACGCGGCCAGCCTCGGAAAGAGGAAGGCATCGCGCCTGCGCGCAAGTCCGCCCGGCAGTCTCGCTGGAACTCTCGCGATGTTAAGAAAAGGCTGATGGGAAATGTAGTCTACATAACAGTCGCGGGAGGTAGCCGCGTTTTCGGCGCGACTCTGGAACCGAGTAATGTGGTGGCCACCACCAGGGGCAGCAGAGGGCCCTGGCTGGGAGGCCTGCTTGGTCAAGAGCCACAGCCGTTAGAAAACAAACGTGGACTTCAGCTACCGAGTGCACAGATTGTCCCTGGCCGAGACCGGGGGAAAGAGGGGGGCGCAGAAAGTTCTAGAGGGCCTCCCGAGGGGGACCCATGAGGAAACTGAGGCACGGCTGGATTTCTTCTTAATTGCTCTGTGGGTTTCCTGTGGGGTGGGGCGGGGTCCTCTGGGGTGGTTGGTTGCTTTAAAGAAGGGGAGGGAGGTTCCCGGGGAAGCGTTGGACGTCCCGCTCGGCCGCCGTTGAGGTTGGGGCGAGTGGCGAGGACCGGGCGGCAGGGGGCGCCCGAGAGCGGGGGGCCGGGCTGCTCCGAGTTCCCCTGAACCCGGGGGCGAGCCCGCGGCCGGTGTGTGGCTCTGATGCTGGGAAGGAAGAATAATTACGTTATGAAAAAGAACAGAGAATAATGGAACACCCACGGGTACTTCTGAGGGCCCTTTATCAGGCAACCGCACTGGCTTCATTTTTGAAGCAACAATAGGACAAAACAACTAGAACCAGGGCCAAAATTTGCGCCTTTCTGGAAATTAGTTTACGGAAATTAGTTTAAATCTGCGCGACCGCAAAACCTTTCCGCATTACTCGCTCCCCGGGCCACACTTGAGCGATGCTCTCGGCGGTATTTAGTCTGGATTGGTCTGCACACGGTAATGCGCAGCAGGTGCTTATTTTCAAGTTACCACATTTGTTTACGTTTGACTCCCTTAATTTGATTGTGAACACTTCAAGGCAGGAGAAGCCTCTTTTAATTATTATTATTTTTCTTTTTAATTTCCTCACAGTGCCTCCTTGCTATTCCGCTGCCTCCGCTCTTGGTAAGTACTTGACAAATAATCATTAACTCACTTAGCAATGACTTCTGTCATGTGAAATTGGTCATTAGGTTTCTCTGTCTTGCCCTTGAAGGCGTTATTTTTGCATCATACTGAGAGAAACAACGGGTTCTCTCCCTGCAGACTGAGCCCCTTTCATTTCAGACGCAGGGAGGAAATTCCAAGTGTGGAATTCGCCCAAAGCCCTGGAGAAACCGCAGTAGTAGGCAAGGAGCCTGCGCAGGCAAAACAATCGTGGTAGCTGATTTCGTAGCGCTTACTAGGCGCGGTTCACTACTTGAGTGCTTGATTTTGGTTTTTATTTTTAAATTTATTTATTTTAATTTTATTTACTTATTTTTAGGGAGAGGAAGGGAGGGAGAGAAACCTCAATGTGTCGTTGGTTGCCTCTTGCGCGCCCCCTGCTGGGGACCTGGCCTGCAACCCGGGCCTGTGCCCTGACTGGGAACTGAACCAATGACCCTTTGTTTGCAGGCCGGTGCTCAGTCCACTGGGCCACTTGAATACTTCGTACGGTCGCTTAACCCTCCCCGTGGCACTGTGGCCCATGCTGTCACCTCCCCCACTTTACAGTTGAGGGACTGGAGTCAGGGTATGAGCGCAGCCTGCAAAGTCTGTGCTTTTACCACGAAGTTGTGCTGCACCAAGAATACATGGCATCCAGCAGAAGTGACGCCATTGCGTGTGGAGCGTGGTTGGTAGGGTATGTGAACATCTTGCACAAGAGGGACAGCCATTTGAACGTTTCACCTAAAATGTCCTAGGATGTGCTTGACTGGGATATTGTTATGTTACCGAATGACATGCTTAGGATTTTGTAATAAAATATTTTTTATGTAATGAAAAAGGGGCATTATTTGTGCTGGACCCTGTATATAAATCAAGCTTCTGTATAAGGGATTTTGGTTTGGGGGAAGTGGGAAGGGAGGGAAGCAGGTTTTTGAGTGTTTGCCACTGTGGTTAGGGGTGAAATTTGAGAGAGGATTGAAAGTGGGGGTGAAGGGCACTTTCTTCTGTGTTTGAGCCACTTTCTGGCGGGAGGAGTGAGGGTGGGGGCCACGGAGCTGATGCCGAACGCCCGCACGGCTCTGGGCTCTGGCCCGGCTGTCTTGGGCCCCAGGTCAGTCGCCAGCGTGCGGTGAGGGCCATTCTTCACAGCCCAAGAAGGGCCGCCGTGTAGCTCGTCCACCTGACCGGGCACTTAGTGGGGGAGCAGCAGGCTCATGGCCAACGCAGTGTCACAGGCTGCTGGGCAGTGGCCAAGGGGCGGGAGCAGAATGCAGTGGGAGGCCTTGTGCCTGAGCACCTGTATGGATGACCCAGGAATACTGGGGGACACCCCGAGGAACGCACAGGATTCCCAGCCGGGCACGCGAGGGCTGTGAGCTGTCGGGAGCGCGTGCGAAGGCTGCTGTGCTTCGTCTGCACTCAGTTGCTGCTGAGGCCTAGGACACTGGAGTTTTACATCTGGTGGAATTACGACGTAGCTCTTACTCAACTCAGTATAGACCTGGGGTGGCATGGGAGGGGCTGCAAAGTTTAGCAGTCAGTGGCAGAAGCAGGTCCCGGGGCAGGAGTCCGAGCGCCAAGGAGAATCCTAGTCGGCAGGCCTGCCGTGCTCGGGCGCTCAGCTCCTGGAGTTCCCTTCGCCGACAGGGTTTAAGACACGGCATCCCAGACCCACAGTAAGAGAAAGCAGAGTCTTTGGCATATCATGGTTACTTTCTCAACCTGGAAAGGAGTCTTTAATTTTATCAGTAAGAACATGAAGGGGGCCAGGTATATCCCAAGCAGATGGCTGCTCACACTGGGACAGTCACACCAGTGTCAACTGCGTGGCAGGCACTGTGAGTTGACAGTCCCGCAGCTGCTCTTCCTCAGCGTCACGAACTGAACAGACCGAGTGCTTCAGAGGAATCAAGTTCCTCCCCAGCCGGAAGGGGTGAATCTTCGTTGGCCTGCCCCAGACCCGGAGGATAAATCTGTTCCCTTGGCCAGTAATTGTGTTAGGAAAAGGTCTGCAGCGCAGTCTGCCAAGTTTGGGGAAGTTTTCTTTAAAAAAAAAAAAAAAAATCCCCTCCTCTGGCTTTAGGACGTGGTGAGGACGCGACGCTGAGACCGTGGCAGCCATAGTGCGTCGCGAGGCTGGCTTCAAAGCGGGAGCCCAGGGCCTGGGGTGGCGGCGTGGAAGGAGAGAACCTGCGTCCTGGACGACGCTTTGGAACTGCTGGAATAGCCAGTCCTGACGCCCCTGCCTCGGACCTTTGGTTCCAATTCAGAGACACACATTTTCACATTTTAGCAGCAAATGTATATTAAGTGTTCACTCCCAGCCAGGCACCACCCAGCCCCGGCCCTGAAGCACCTTTTTTTGAAACAGGTTTGCGGCAATCTGGTTGGCATACAAAAAGCTGTGTGTGTTCAATGTATAAACTCGGTGACTCTAAGCACCTTTTATGTGGGATCTCATTCGACTCTCACAACCACCCTTTTATTTCC